ATCATGCTCAGTTCATCCTTTCCTACTGATCTGGGACTGATGTATGTATAGCCTTCAGGTGGCTTCGAAATTGTAAACACCCATGATTAAGAGGCTTGTTTTAGTTTCTTCTTCTAAAATGTGACTTCTCCCAGGAAGTGAACCAAAAATCCCTGTGTGTGGTCTGTTTTCTTTGGCATAACCCACATTTACTAATGAGCTGTGGCTGTGAGGTGGCCATTCACTCTGTCTTGCCCAGAGTCTTCTGATTATCTCATTCTTTCCAAGGTGTTTCTCTTATGGTAGTACTTTTGTGTCTGAGTAAAAAATTTAACTGGGCATGCCTTTTAGAGATTTTAGAGTTGACCCAGAATTTGACACCTGTTTCTGTTTAGCCAGTACAAAACAAACATGATACTTAGTGAGCATAGATTTTCTTTGATTTCAAAAGAAAGTTGAGCAGGAATCACCTTTCAGTTTAAAAGCTTATCGGGGACAAAAACTTACCTCTTATTTTATACCTAGTCCTCTGAGCCCAGAACCTGGTTGCATGTTCAGGTACTCGGCGTAAATCTGTTCTCTTGGCTTCAGTGGCTTTCATTATTGTATGGCTAGAAATGAAAGGTATTTCATTCATCTGTCCCTTCAACCAGAATTATATATAGGATGGTGAATAAGACAGACAAGGTCATTCATTCCTTCATAGAACTAACATCTTATAAGAGAACAAGTAAAAGAAATACATATAATTACAAGATATATGATTGTTTTGCAGGGACTAGAGGAGCAACCTCGCTAGATAAGATAAAAAAGGGTCCCTCACATCCTGTGTGGAGTTGATATCTGAGCTAAAATGTAAAGGGTAAGAAAGAATGGAGCATAAGCCACCCAGGCAAAAGCATCATCAATTCTGTAGGCCATTGAGGATGGAAAATATGTAGCCTGTTTGAGGATCAGAAATAAAGTGTGACTAGAGGGCCCTGACCGAAGGAGAGAGCAGTAAGTAGGTAATAAAATTGGAAGGGAAAGTGGAGGCCAGAGTAGTGTGGCCTGGGGATTTGGATTTTATTCTGAGTGAAGAAAGAGACATAAAAGTGATATGATCTCTGATATATTTCTATGTTTTTAGGTGTGTTTGTTGCTGTAAGAGGATGGTGAATTGGACTGAGGGAATGAAGGTAGAGACAGAAAACTGTGGCTAAGTTTGAATAATACCAGTATTTTGGATATGAAGTCAATAAGATTGCTGAAGTTTGGATGTAAGCAGGAGTGTGGTGAGGTAATGAGAAAGATCAGGAGCATTTCTGAGGTCAAGAAGACTGAGAAGTAAGGTTGAAGAGGTTTTGGGATGAGGGAGAGTTGATACTTAAGAATTTTGTCTAGAATGTAAGTTTAGATTTCCATGAGTTATCAGGACTAAAATATGATCTGGATGTGTGAGTCTGGAGCTCAGAGAATTCTGCCTAGACATATAAATGTGGGAACCACAGCATATAGAGGATGCTTGTATCCTAGATGGATTTGCTTTAGGTGGTGAAAACACTTCATGTTAGTTACATGGCTAGTTTAAGAATTTGCTCCTTTAGGATGCTGGCAGTAGTATAACTGTAGAACTACAGTTATTTTACTGCAAGATAGCCATTTAAAATTTATTTATGTCACCAAAGACCAGGAAGGTGAAACGCTACCCTTGGCGCCATGAAACCATTGTCTGAGCTTGTTTTTCACAAAAATCCATATCTGGATGGTGTGACCAAATGTTCAACAATGTCTGGCTGCTGTGTTCTAATAGGTCAGGTGTAACTTAAGCCCCAAATGCCTTATGGCAGCCATAAATTAGATGAAGGTAGCTGAAGTAAAGCAAGAGGGCTTGTGACCTCAGATTAGAATCAAGGGCAACAAGGCTGTCTAAACATGGGAACCCTATATGAAGCCTTGGACTAGAGACAAGCAGCGTTTATTTTGTGAGAATATTGCTAACAAAAACAAAAAGGAAGGTGCAGAATCATGCTTTTCAAATTTGAGGATTTTTAAGAAATACAGTAATAGCTTATGAAAATGTAAACACCTCCCAGGGAATCTGGTTAAGTAATTGGGTTGGTGTTAAGGACTCAATATTTCTAACAAAAGATTCTGATACAGATGATCCATACATCTCACACAGAAATACTGAGTCTGGAAAGACGACCCCTGAGACCATCTACTTGTAGCTGTCTTTTAGAATGGGGAAGCAAGCCTGTCGAGAAGAGTTTTGCCCAAAGTTGCAGAGCGAGTTGGAATGTCAGTGCAATTTAACAACTTACTATTACTCTTCATCCTAATGGGTGCATGGAAAGCCAGTCTTCCCTCCAAGTTCTCACACTGCCTTCCTTCATTCTGTTTTTGCTTTTTTTATTTTTTTTGAGACAGGGTCTCACAATGTAGTTGAGACTGACCTGGAACTCACTATGTAGCCCAGGCTGGTCTCGAACTCATAGCGATCCTCCTGCCTCAGCCTCCCAAGTGCTGAGATTACAGGCATGTGCCACCATGTCCGGCTCTTTGCTTTTATTTTTCCAAATCACATATCACCTTCTATTGTAAGAATAATTTAATGCTGTGATTTTTTTTTTTTTTTGTACCAGGGATTGAACTCAGGACCTTGCGCTTGTGAGGTGCCACTGAACTAAGTCCCCTGCTATAAGAATAATTTAATAATTTATTGTGTTTATTATTTGTCTCACCTCAGTAAAATAAAAGCTTGTTTTGTTTCACTGAGGTATCCCACATGCTTCAAATGGTGCCGGGCCCATAGTAGTTCAATGAATATTTGTTAAATGGATAAATGAAAAATATTTTGTTAAACTGTAAGTTAATGGACATTGTGGGAAAGTATCAGCCTTTAGTCATTTTTAGTACAAAATAAAGTAGAAATTTTTTTTTCACTTGTTTTATTCTGCTTGAATTAGAGGTTTCAGGAACATTTTGTTTCTGGAAGACTAAATACTTTCTAAGAGTATCAACAGTAATAATAGTAACAACTGCAACAGTAGAAACAGTGATAACTACCATTTAGGGAATGGGTGATGTTTGTAAATACATACTGTATGAAGCTCTGCACTAAGGATTGGCTCATTATCTCATCTAAGTCTCATTACAGCCCAACCCAGAGGTGAGGAACTAGCATTGTCTGTTTTCCAGAGGAGGATACTGAGGCTCAAGAAGTGGAATCACTTCTTGAAGGATACACAGCCTGTACAGATTTAAGGTCTGTGATTCTCACAGTTAACAGTAACTTTCAGTATTAGGTTTGGAGTGTTCTCTCTTTGGAGAAGGAATTGAAAAAGCTAAAGACTAGGCGATACCAGTCTTCAGGGTGTCCCTGGGCCAAAAGCATCAATCTCCAAGGTGGTATAAAACCACAGGCTGGAGAAAACATGATTTTTTTTTGGCTCTCATTTCCCCATACTCTCAAGTCTTTCCATTCTCACATTACAAAGAACCTTTCGTCTTGAACTGGTGAGCTTTTCTCACTCCTCAGACAGCCTCCCCAGAGCTGGCCAAGGAAAATTCCTGTGGTGATAGGTCATGCTGAAGAATTTCTAGGGAGGCCACTGCAGCATTCATTCACACACCCGCTCCTCAGGAGGGGTGGACAGAAGGGGGCTCCTTCACCCGCTTTCTCTAACACTTTGCTGTCGAGGCTGCAGGAAGGCCTGAGGGAGATGATGGTTTTATAAATGTGGGCACAACAGATCTCTTGTGAGACTTGGATAGGCCTTTGAGTTCTGGGTACACTGTACCTTTTTAGCTGCTTAAGAGTAAAGAATGAAGTATCACAAGCTGCTGTGGATAATGTTGGCATCATTCATACCCCTGGCAGCGAAGATTGGTCATGCTCCATATGTACGGCAGCAGATCTCATTTAATTCTTACAATGGACAAGAAGAGGCTTCGTTGTCCCTCTTCTGTGGCTGAGGAAGGCCTTGAGAAATTGGAAACTTGCCAGTCTTGTGGCATTAGCTAGAAGCAGAGCCATGTGTTAAAAATACAGGCTGAGTTCTGAGGCTTGTCTTTGCTAGTTCTGCAGGGCTGGTAGAGCATAGACTCTGGAACCATCCTACTTGGGTTTGAATCTTGACTCTGCTACTTACTAGCTGGGAAATATTGGGCAGGACACTTAGCCACCCTCCTGTTTGGCTCATTCACCTGTAGCATGGGGTTAATAATGGACTCATATAATTTGTTAGGAGGATTAAATGAATCCGTATATGTAAAGCACTTAGCATCTGGCACATAAAAGCATGTAAGTGCTATCTGTTATTATTAATTTATATATCAAGTCCTTTTTGGTCTAGATGGAAACTGTAATCTCAGAGGTTTCAAGATTTTTCTAACCACCTCCATTCCCCAACCTCTGCCCCCACCCGAAGGTTGTGTCTGCATGCATAAACACCATACATAGATGATTACACACAGCACTGAGAGTGGTGCCTGGCATATCAGTAGCTCCAGTAGATGTCAGTGGTGATGGGTATGATATAGCCAAGACACTGAGGGCATGGGAAGGCGGGGATGGGGACAGCGCCTGACTCTCAGTTGGTGCCATCCTCTGGGGTATAGATCCAGAAAGAGAAGTAGGCAGGTCTAGGTGTTCCTCTCATGGATTAGGTAAGAACCAAGAGGCAGTCATTATTTCATATACAACAAGTTACTGTTATTTTACTGCTCTAACAATGAGCATATATTTTATTAATTTAAAGGATAGAGAGCAAGGAAGTATTCAGAGTTTTTGGTTAGGCCACATTAAATAGTAAAAGATTAGTACTTAGATAAATTTATCCAGGGATAAATTGTCTCAGAACAGCTTTGTGATGTGCCCTTTGTTGGAGTGAATTGTCACCGTCCAGCCTCCACCACCCCACACTTGATCTGACCACAGTGTCCTCCTGTTTCCCTTTCCTCTGGGGAAGCTCGGCTTCTCTGCTCTTCTGCCATTGGTCTGTGATTTTTTGTAACTGTGCATTTCACTTTTCTTTTAGCTTAAGAGTTGGACAGTGGAAGACCTTCAGAAGAGGCTCTTGGCTCTCGACCCCATGATGGAGCAGGAAATTGAAGAGATCCGGCAAAAGTACCAGTCCAAGCGGCAGCCAATTCTGGATGCCATTGAGGCTAAAAAGAGGCGGCAACAAAATTTCTGAGCAAGGCTGGGCCCTGGGCTTTGGTGAATCCTGGATTGCTCGTCTCACACTGTCAGCCAGCACTTACACTATATCATTTCTTCAGAGCACCTTTTTGAACTCAGGAATGTGCGCCAGTGGGAAGGGCTACCTTGACAGTCATTGTGCCATCTTGATGTGTGTATTTACGTTGGTCAGGTGTATTACTTTGAAGATTTATGTTGGCGCTTTTAACTCAGAATTTTAATCCCCAGAAACAGAGACTCTTAGTTGAGAGCTGGGAAAGTTTTACATTATCTTTGTGTTTTTCTTTTCCCAATAGTTTTTTATTGTTCTTTCTAGAAGACTTTTTAAAAACATATAAGTGTGTGTGTGTGTGTGTGTGTGTGTGTGTGTGTGTGTGTGTGTATTATCTGTCCAACCTTCTCATTTCTTATGTGTTGCTTTTATTAGCCTTAGTAATAAAAATTTAAAAGCAGATTTATAGGTTATAGATGAATTTTAGGATAAAAGATTTCTGTAAGATTATGGTACTGTGGAACATGGGGGCCGAGGACGTCAGGAACCTGCTAGGAGGTCACTGAATCCTAGGAGCCACCCTCACCCTTTGTAGGGCTGCATTTAAAAATTAGGATTGGTTTCCACCATGGTTTCGGCCTTGTGTGGTCATCACTGACTGGCTTTTGGAGCTGACAGTGATGCTCAGAACACCTTGAGAATTTGTGTTTGCTCTTTGAATCCCAGGAGCAGCCTGGTACTATTTTTACAAGTTGACCTTTACTGTTTCAATGTATTTCATCCATCTCCACTCTCCCAACTGCCTAAAGTCACATCACAGTTGTTTCCCAGTGCCTTAAGAGGAGAGGTGATCTGGTAAAGGGATAGGCCTACCAGGAACTCTCAGCAACCACAGGGCTGTGTTCAGTCCACAAAAGGAAAGGGATTTTGAAGCTCTCGTTCATGTGAAAAATTATACAAGTGGCATTTTGCTCTGCATTCCTTATCAGAAGGGGTATGGGGCATTGCTTTGCTTTTTTTTTTTTTTTTTTTTTTAATCCACATTCAAATATGTGATGGTTTTCTTTTGCTATTAAGGGGTCTGGAAATAGAAATGAATACTCCAGGATGCTCAGTCTGGACAGATAGAATACCGGAGTTAGAAGGGACAATAATGATCACCTGTGAGAAGGGAAGTGACATGGCCAACCTCAGAAACCAGTTTACAGTAAGAGCAGGGTTTGGAACTCAGATCTCCACTCCTGGGACACTGAACTGAGCAGCCCCTTCCCTGAGGAAAAAGATTTGAGTCTGTTTGGGTTAAGTTGTCCCAGGAATCCCAGCTGGCAGAACCCTGCTCTTTCCTTGCTTCTTTTTAAGTGACCTATGTATGGAAAGATTCCCCAGAGAAAAATAATCAGAGAGTCCATGCGTTCTGCTGTGCCTAGCAGACACACATTTGTGGAGGCATATTTAGGGGCCGAAGCACAGCAGAGGTCTTTGAAAAGAGACAGCATGGAGACATCTTCCTGTAACTTTGGCTCAGAGCCACACTGGCTACACAGAAAAGAGAACACAATTGGGAAAGACAGATATCTTTTTATTTTCTTCTAATATCTTTTCCTTCAGATAGGGAAACCATGACTAGGTTGCACCAAAGAATATTGTAATTTGATTCCATAATTGCTCTTGCTCCCTAAACCTGAGAATCAATGGAAAGGCAGGAATAGTTCTTCTGCAGTCAGATTCTGTTGTTTGCAATTAAAGCAAGTTTTCAAAAATGTGCAAAGGCAGTTGGTCTTCAGGGCTTAACCACTGAAGTAGCTATATGGTAGATAAAGAAAATAGAGGACAATTTGAGGATCTTGCAGGAATAATAACAGGCAACTAGCATTTATTAGCCACCTATTATATGCCAAGCCCTGGGCTAGGTCATCTTCAAATTTCATGGTAGTCCTGTGGGTTAAGTACTTTATCTCCATCTCATAGGTAGGAAAATAGGTTTCGAGGAAATATTCTTTCCCAAGGCAATACAGTCAATAAGTGGTAGAATCAGGATTCATAGCATTACCTTATAGAAACACATCCAACCATGTCTAACCTGCAGGCCTCAGACATAACAGATAAAAAAAAAAAAAAAGAAGTTTTGTTACTTACATATACCAACTATATTTTATATTTTTATGTGGCCCAAGACAGTTTCTCTTCACTCAGTATAGCCTAGGCAAGCCAAAAGGTTGGACACTCGTGGCAGAGAGAAGGAAAGTCATGAATCTATTTAAAATGAAATTACCATCTTTTCTTGCACAGACTAAGTGGCATTTTTAGGTTGGAAAACAGCTGAATTAATAGGTCTGACAGCCAACTAAGTTTGAAAAACCAAAGCATTGAGCGTGGATGCTCCATGACACCACTTGCTGTGCTAACAGTTCTGCCTTAGTCTCTTTCCTCTTTAAACAGAGATCGAAGAAGAAAGCCTTTTTCTTCTTTCCCAAGCAAGATCAAAGTAAAGGAAAGCTCAGTTTTTCTCCATAAATGTTGTTGGGCCATGAACCTTGATCTGGAGGTTATTTTGTTTTTAGCATATCTACATCCAACATACTGATCCAGCATGTCCTTTGCTCATCAGTCTAGTAGGCAGAGTCCTTTGGCTAGAAGTCAAATTGTTTTGGATCAGATAGATTTCACGGCAAGAAACGTTTGTTTTCTAGTAACAGAAAGGCAGAGGAGCAAGTCCTAGTCATTTTTTTTCTTAAATACTAAATTCAAGATATTTCCATTTCATCGCACTTCAATATTTGTCTCAAGCTTCCAGGGAACTCTAAGGTTTTCTGTACTTCCAAGAAACCATGACCCACATTTATTACATCTTTTTAAAAATCTCAGTCTCTTTTTTTGTTTTTTGTTCTGTTTTGTTTTGTTTTTTGAAACAGGGTCTCTCACTATGTAGTTGAGACTGACCTGGAACTCACTCTGTAGCCCAGGCTGGTCTCGAACTCACAGCGATCCTCCTGCCTCAGCCTCCTGAGTGCTGGGATTACAGGTGTGTGCCACCATGCCCAGCAAAATCTCAGTCTCTTAAAATATCTTAATTGCTCTCCCACTAGTGAACTTGAAGCACATTTCTGTTTTTATTTCTTTATATTCTTTTGTCCAACTAGCAATTGGATGAAAATTTGGCTGAGGAAGAGAGGGATGGGTAGATAGAATGATATATGTAATGGATGAACTAATGAACCAGTATTCTGAAGCAGTTTATGAATTGTAGACTTGAGTCCTTGAAACTGTAGATTCCAACCAGGAAACGTTCATTTAGCACCTATCAAATGCCAGAAATTTATTATACCATATAAAACTCAGTAGCTCAGTTTGGTATCAGAAATGAGAGCAGTGACATCACTATAGACCCTGTAGATATTAAAAGGCTAATAACAGAATCGTATGAAGAATTTTATGCTGATGCATTCAACAATTTAAATGAAATAGACAAGTTGCTGGAAAAATACAAAGTTCCAAAGTACACTCAAGGAGAAACAGTTAATCCAAATAGCCCTGTATGTGCAGAAACTTAATAGCTTTGAGAGACATAGGTCTGACTCTTCTCATTTTACAGATGATGAAACTGAGGCTCAGAGAGGTAAAGTCAGTTGCTCAAAGCCATGTCACTGTAGTATAGGACAGTCAGGGTTTATATCCAGTGTCCTTTCTAACATACCGTGTTGCCTCTAACGACCGCAGCTCCTTATTTAGGGGGGAATTGCTCCTGCTCGGTCCATTCTCCCTTCTGCAGCCCGTGCTTTCTTAGCACCATGTTTATGTCTCATCAGGGTTCCAGTCATGGTCTTTGGAGTACACGTTCTTGTTTGTGTTTGGCAAAAAATTCACCAGCTTGCACTTAGACCAACTTGGATTTAAAGATAAAAAGCTTAAATGCTGTTGCTAATGTACAATTTAAAATGTGAAGTTTGTAGCTTTAATTTTTTTTGTAACAAAAACTAATAACACTGGCTTAAGTGCTGACTTGAAATGCTATTTTGTGAGGTTTGGATGTAAATAATCAGTTGAGGTCAGCTGTTTGTATATGTATGAGACATCGCTTCCTCCATTACCTTTTTTTTTTTTTAATTTTGAGATCCTTCCTATATACTTTTATGTCAGATTTGTTGTTTTACCTCCTTCTTTCCTATACCTTGTCAATCTTTGTTTTAAATAAACTGTCCTTTGGACCACAGATCTCCTGTCTTTTTAAAAATGAGGTCCTATATTCATGCCTGCGTAACAGCGTGAACCTTTGTGACACTGTGTGCTGTGTATATTTTAGGATCCAAAGCCGGGACAGATAGGTAAACTTTTGTTGATCACCTGCTGTGTGCCAGGGACAAAGCTAGTTGTCACTAAAGTAAAGATACATGAGAGACAGTTATTACAGAGCACCTAGGGAGTCAGTCAAGCACAAAAGCACATAACATTGGAAGTACTAGGACAGAAGAAAGTGCATGTCTTGTGAACGCAGAAGCGTGAATGGCAGCCAGTGCTGCTGGGGCATCCAAGGATACTCTTGAGGAAGGTAATATCCTGAAACTTGGAAAACAAGGAAGAGAAGGCCAGATTGATGAAGAGTAGGAATTGAGGGAGGAGGTGAAGAGAAGGTCCAGCCTGGACAAAGAGCCTGGAGCGGGAGTCTCATGTGGGATCACCAGGAGCCTGATGTTGGAATCTACCATCCCTGTCTGCTGTTGCATGATGTCAGGCCAGGCATGGCCCAGCATTCCAAGTGGAGCCGCAGGATCGTGCACTTGTATAACTCATCCTTTTCTAGAAATAATTCCCCAGGCTGACCCTGCATTTTCTTAATCTTAAAAGTTTTCCCTGCTGCAAAGAGGGAACAGAGTTACACTACACTAAAAAGTAAGTATGGGAGGGCTGGGGATTTAGCACAGTGGTGCTGCCTGCCTCACAAACACAAGGTGCCAAGTTTGCTCTCGGATAACAAAAAAAAGTGGGTCTCGAGGCAACCTACTCTATAGTATTTAATACAATAATTCCATAGCCTGTCTGCATAACTGGCATGCTGTTGCCAGAGGCGATAACATGTTTCCTATTAGGTTAAGAATCATGACCAAAAGAAGCAGGGGTGGAGTAAATTTATATGTAATAGCACTGTGATAGCCACAATACAGAGCCATTTAGGTTACTTCATTTTGTTTTTACAAAGACAGCTGTAAGTAGTGTACCCTCTCTGTAGACGATTCTCAGGGTGCAGCAGTGCCCACTGGATTTGTTCTGGAAATATTTGGGAATGTTTTTGACTGACAACAGTTGAGGGCCCTACCAGCATTT